CTACTAGTAACAAGAAGCTACTAGGGGCTCCTCGCCTTACTACTAGGAGCAAGGACGGTAGTAGGGTCTCCTGGCATCGCTACTAGTAACAAGAACCTACTAGGGGCTCCTGGCCTTACTACTAGGAAGGGCGCTACTAGGGGCTCCTGGCATCGCTACTAGTAGCAAGGGCATCGCAACTAGTAACAAGAAGTTAGTAGGGGCTCCTGGCCTTAATACTAGGAGCAAGGACGCTACCAGGGGCTCCTGGCATCGCTACTAGGAGCAAGGGCATCGCTACTAGTAACAAGAAGCTAGTAGGGGCTCCTCGCCTTACTACTAGGAGCAAGGGCATCGCTACTAGTAACAAGAAGCTATAGGGGGCTCCTGGCCTTACTACTCGGAAGGGCGCTACTAGGGGCTCCTGGCATCGCTACTAGGAGCAAGGGCATCGCTACTAGTGACAAGAAGCTAGTAGGGGCTCCTGGCCTTACTACTAGGAGCAAGGACGCTACTAGGGGCTCCTGGCATCGCTACTAGGAGCCAGGGCGGTAGTAGGGGCTCCTGGCATCGCTACTCGGCGCAAGGGCATCGCTACCATTAACGCTACTAGGGGCTCCTGGCCATACTACTAGGAGCAATGGCAAGGGCATCGCTACTAGTAACAAGAAGCTACTAGGGGCTCCTGGCCTTACTACTAGGAGCAAGGATACTAGGGGCTCCTGGCATCGCTACTAGGAGCAAGGGCATCGCTACTAGCAACAAGAAGCTACTAGGAGCTCCTGGCCTTACTACTAGGAGCAAGGACGGTAGTAGGGGCTCCTGGCATCGCTACTAGGAGCAAGGGCATCGCTACTAGATACTAGCCGCTCCTGGCCTTGCTACTAGGAGCAAGGACGCTACTAGGGCCGCTACTGGGCGCTCCTGGCCTTACTACTAGGAGCAAGGACGGTAGTAGGGGCTCCTGGCATCGCTACTAGGAGCAAGGGCATCGCTACTAGTAACAAGAACCTACCAGGGACTCCTGGCCCTACTACTAGGAGCAAGGACGCCACTAGAGGTCCTGGCATCGCTACTAGGAGCAAGAGTAACAAGAAGCTAGTAGGGGCTCCTGGCCTTACTGCTAGGAGCAAGGACGCTACTAGGGGCTCCTGGCATCGCTACTAGGAGCAAGAATAACAAGAAGCTACTAGCGGCTCCTGGCCTTACTACTAGGAGCAAGGACGCTACTAGGGGCTCCTGGCATCGCTACTAGGAGCAAGGGCATCGCTTCTAGTAACAAGAAGCTGCTAGGGGCTCATGACCCTACTACTAGGAGCAAGGATTGGCATCGCAACAAGAAGCTACTAGGGGCTCCTGGCCTTACTACTACGAGCACGGATGCTACTAGGGGCTCCTGGCATCGCTACTAGCAACAAGAAGCTACTAGGGGCTCCTTGCCTTACTACTAGGAGCAAGGACGCTACCAGGGGCTCCTGGCATCGCTACTAGGAGCAAGGGCATCGCTACTAGTAACAAGAAGCTAGTAGGGGCTGCCCTTACTACTAGGAGCAAGGGCATCGCTACTAGTAACAAGAAGCTATAGGGGCTGCTGGCCTTCCTACTAGGAGCAAGGACGCTACTAGGAGCTCCTGGCATCGCTAGTAGGAGCAAGGGCATCGCTACTAGTAACAAGAAGCTACTAGGGGCTC